TTGACTCAGTCTTAACTTTTAGGGTCGACTAAATGAATTGATGTCTCAAATCAGGATGCAGAATCATTTTGGAGCAGTCAGATCTGAAGAAAGGTATTACATAGATGCAGATCTGTTACGAGAAATCAAGCAGGTAAGTGTTGTATGAGGGTGTATTATTTAAACTGTGAGCTCACCACTTCACACCTATTAGGATGGTTGTTATCCTAATAAAGAAAAGTGTTGGTGAGAATGTGGAGAAATTGGAACTTTCTTGCAGTGTTGGGAGAATGTAAAATGGTTCAGCCTCTATGAAAAACAGTGTAGTGTTTACTCAAAAAATTAAAGATAGAATTACGATACAATCTCTCAGGTCTACTTATGGATATGTACCCAAGTACGTTGGAAGCAGGGACTCAAAACATATTTGTACACCCATGTTCCTAGATCATTATTCACAATAGCCAAAATGTGGTGGTAACCCAAGAGTCAATCAAGGAATAGAGAAACAAAATGTAGTATATATACACACAATGGAATATTATTCAGCCTTGAAAAAAGAAGGAAATTCTGACACACGCTACAGTGCAATTTGACCTTGAAGAAGTTGTGTTTCATGAAATAAGCCACTCATAAAAGGGCAAATATTTATGATTTCACTTGTGAAAAGTACCTAGTAGTTCAATTAATAGAGAGTAGAAAGGTGGTTGCCAGGGTGTGAGGGGAGGAGGGGATGGGAGGAACTTAATTGGTACAGAATTTCAACTTGAGAAGATGAAAAGTTCTGAACAAAATGGATAGTGTTGATTATTGCACAACAGCATAAGTATACTTAATGCCACTGAACTGTATACTTAAAAATAGTTACAGGCAAAATTTTATGGTATGCCTGTTTTGCCACAATTTTAAAAAGGTGAAGTATCCCTCTCCTCACCAAAAAGATGAATTTAAGAGGTAATAGAGACACTACAGTTTACTAGACCTTGCTCCTTAAAGTGTAGGCAGTAACCGCACCTGGAAGGTCATTAAAAATGCAAAATTTCAGTCCTTACTCCAGATGTATTCGATCTGCATTTTATCAAGATCATAGAATGATTTGTATGCACTTTAAAGTTTGAGAAGCAACTGCTTTAGATAATACCTTCCCTGCCTATATGTCACACGTAAGTTATAAACATGTTGTTATTGATCTATCCCCTAAGCCCTCAGGAGATCTGGATGGAGGTAGGTTGAGGTGGCCAGAACCTCCAGCCACTTTTCTCGGGTTTTCACCTTGTGTGAAAAAGTTGGGAAACACTGCTTTGGCTTATTTTCATTAGTATAAATGCAGATTAGTTTAATGAAAATGAACAGTTGTGTCTAAAGAAAATATATGAAGATGATGAACTTTGTGGAGCATACTAGGTAGCTAATGACTGTTGGCATGGCCCTGAGGATTTTAGATTAAGGTTATAAATGTCATCAACAAATCCAATTTTATTATATGCTTTAGAATGGATATGGCTGGTTTTATGTAACCAAAAACTAGTTTGGCTTCTAGATTCTTGGACATTACACAACCAATTATATTCCATTGTTTTAAGTATTTGCAATAAATTAACAGATTCCAGTATATTGTAATAGTTGTAGGTTGATATATGCAATAAAACTGAATAATTTAAACACTTGTCTTTTTTAAAATGATGAGCAGTGTATTGTTCAGGGATTGAATCATGGTTCACCATCTACTTTATGACCTTGGGTAGGTTATTTACCTATAGTTTCTTTAACTGTGGAGATGATAATGGTACCCCAAAGGGTGCTCAAAAGGATTTTAAATGAATTGAACAAGTGAATAACAGTACTCACTATTAAAACAGCACCTTAACCCATAAGGAGGAGTCTTTAAAAAATGTTAGCATCTGTAGTCATCATCACCATTATCGCTATATACTTTGTACTTCAAAACATGAATATTCTGTTTTCAGAATGTTATTTTGCTAGTCATCTATATTTGAATACCTCCTTTGAGTTCTGTTCTATTATGTCTTTATCAAAAGTTGGTAAAAGGAAATAGCTATCTAAAAAACATTTTTGTTGGAAGATACTGTTCATTTTATATTTGTTTGATTTTATTGTTCTTTAGAGTTTGTCTTTCACTGTTAGCAAAAGATGTAGTACAAATGTTTAAATATGCATGCCCTCTATATTTAAAGCACTTACTAGGTACTGTGTTATTAGTAAAACAGTCAAAGTGGAGTCCTTTTTCCTGTGACTAGCTTGCAGTTTTAATAAATTAATACATTAACATGTTGTTTCTTAATTTGTTCTAGCATTTGAAACAACAACAGGAAGGCCTTAGCCATTTGATTAGCATCATTAAAGATGATCTAGAAGATATAAAGCTGGTCGAACATGGATTGAATGAAACCATCCACATCAGAGGTGGTGTCTTTAGTTGACAGTTCACAAACTTGTGTAAAGGTTTGTGAAATTCATCTTCTTACTGCATCAGCCCTTCCTTAAGAATGAAACCGACCACGTGGAGGGAAAAAGAAAACAATTCTCTCTTGGCTTGGTTTTTTGAGAAGTTTACTGACAAATTACTGTCCATCAAATCTGAAATACAGTCACCTCACAGCTCTTCAAAGAAAACCTTTGAAAGATTTATATCTAAAAGCTGTATTTACTTTAAAAGGAGAAGTGCATAATTACCAAAATTATATGTACTATTGTACATTTTTACAACAGCATTTTCTTAAACATAATCTGTTTAATGATTATTGTCCACTGAGCCTGTACTCTGCTTTCCATACCAAGTAAATATGAAATAATCTTTGCACATAACAGAAGAAACTATAATTACTTGGCTGTTGGAGATTTGTACTTCAGAGTATAAATGTACACCAGTTTTTATATTTGTGAACTCATCTGTGGGAGGAGTAAAGAAAATCCAAAAGCATTTAATGTTTTTTTTTTGTTCTATAAAGATTTGAAAATGTATTTTTATATTATTTTACTTATTTGGAATTTACAGAGCACACCTAAGCAATTAGGATATAACAAAATTAACCATTTTTGCAACCATTTTGTTTTTTAAGCCTTTTTATTTCTAAAAAGATGAAAACTTATAAATAAATTCTTAATTTGTAATTTTATATAATTTTGTCTGGCGCTTTATTTGGCTTTTGAGGAATGACCATTTTTTGTCCACATAGGTACTAAATTAATAATCACAATTCAGGAATTTTAGTCTTAAGTCTGATTTTTCCCTCCTAGGGATTTTTGTCAGTGCTGATATAATCAGCACAATTTGATTAGGGTATGGCAAATAAAACTTACTTCAGATATCATCTAGTATTAAGAATTCCCTAATACATCATTAGTATTTGAAATACTAGAAAATCTGAGTTAAACAGATTAAATAGTGTTAAATAGTGGGTCTTTAACCAGTGGGTCATTTTAAACAGTATTTCTGACTACACACTATATGTTTGGGCTGCATCATGTTTGCTGCTCTTGAGATGCTTTAACTTTGCACTTCTCTGTGATGCTTTGGTTTATATTGACAGGTGTTACAAGAAACAGCCCCATGAATCTTGGTATTGTATTTACTATGGGGATGGTGAACAGTGTGATGCACTGTATATCTGGAGTCCATCCTCTGAGAACCCACTGAAGAGATTTATGCTCAGTTGTATAGGTTACAGTTGTGTAGACTAGGATATTTTGTGGGTTTTATTTGTTTGTTTGTTTGACAAGTCTGTCTGTCACCCAGGCTGGCGTACAGTGGCATAATCATGACTCACTGCAGCCTTGACCTCCTGGGCTTAAGCAGTTCTCCCACCTCAGACTCGCGTAACTGGGACTACAGGCATGCACCACCACAATGGGCTAATATTTTTTATTTTGTGTAGAGATGGGGTCTTGCTATGTTGCCCAGGCTGGTCTTGAACTCCTAGACTCCAGCAATCCTCCTGCCTTGGCCTGCCAGAGTGCTAGGATTACAGGCCTGAACCTCCATGCCTGGCCAAGACTAGGAACTTTAAAACTGATTGTTTCTTTCCAAATTGACTGCCAGAAGTATGCAGCTACTTTTGCCAAGTTTATGGCATGTAAATTTGTTACACTACTACCCTCTCATCATTCTTTCCTATCCATTATACTGCAATACCAACGGTGTTGGGACAGGAATTTCTCTCCTTTTCCACATTTTCTCCATGGCCCAGAAGATCTGCATGTTCATCATTCTTACCCCTGTAGCCAAGTATAGGAGTTTCTGTCCCTCTGCACACCCCCTTATCGTAGGAAGAGTTGTTGGTTTAATTGATGAGAATTGTTACTCACTGAGCTATATAATCTAGCGGATGGATCACTCATGCATACCATGCTCGCTTCTCTAGCCTCTGATTTTTCATGTTCTAATATTGCTGATTGCTAGTTCAACCAGATAAATATACCAGACCAGATAAATATACCAGACAGGGCCTAAGGTCAGCCTTTTAAAGACAGTCCCAGTCATCCTGTTAGGTTCCTGTCCCACTGGTGATTGCGTATAGAAGGCAGGCCTGTGGTCCTTAATCATATAGCTGGTTAGATAACTAGACTCAGTTATCGAAGCAAATGTTGTAGACTGAGTAGTTTGTGTCCTCAAAAAATTCATGTTGAAATCCTAACAATATGGTGATTTTGGGAGGTCATGATGAAGGTGGGGCCTTCATGAATGGAATTAGTGCTCTCTCTCTCTTGTCCCTTCTGCCATGTGAGATGGTGAGGAAGGGACAAGGAAGAGGGCCCTCACCAGGAACTAAGTCTGCTGGCATCTTAATCTTGGACTTCCCAGCCTCCAGAACTGTGAGAAATAAATATCTGTTGCTTATAAGTTACCTAGTCTACAGTGGTCTGTTACAGCAACCCAAACAGACTAAGAGAGATGAGTAGACAGATATTAAATACAGATATTAAATGCAGATATTAAAGTTCTACTACAGATATTAAATTTATGTTAAACACTAACAGTATTGAGCATACTGGCAATTCTGAAATATCTAAAAATCTTTTATTGAATTCAATCAGAAGTATACAGTTTTCGGGATTTTTTTCAATTAGTATAGAAGTGAAAAGTTCTGTGACATATATCTGGACCAACTTTCTGAATTTGCAAAATGAATAACAAATATACAATTCTCATTTTATCAGTGACTTTGGCCAACAAGTGAAAAATACATCATTCCTTTTGATCTCCTGTGGGATCCCTATAGTTATTTCAAGTAAAGAACAAGAAAGATAAACAATGCATGAAACTACAGAGCAACAAAGAGATTTATAGCAGAAACACTGATTAAAATGATGACCATCCCAAACTCTGGAAGCAGCATTTTGCCCAAGGATGCAGAAGGATGGCTTTTGGGACCTGGAACAGGAACTGGACCTGGAGCTGTTAACGAGAATACACAGTCACCGACACATCATTTTTTACATCAAGTATCACCACCTATACAATATAACCTCAATATGTAAACAGTGACACTAAAGTTCAATTAGAAACTTACCTGAAGTACTTCCAGCCAAAAGCAATTTTCAAATAAGTGTAATTCACTACAGATTTCAGGCTGTATTTCCATATACAGTTGACCCTTAATATGGGTGTTGGAGTGCCAACCTCCACACAATGAAAACCTCCATGTAACCTGATTCCCAAAAACTTAACTACTAATAGCCTACCATTGACTGGAAGCCTTACTGGTAATAGAAATAGTTGATTAACATATTTTATATGTATTATATACTGTATTTCGGTTGGGGCATGGTGGCTTACACCTGTAATCCCAGCATTTTAGGAGGCCAAGGCAGGAGGATCGCTTGAGACCAGGAGTTTGAGCCTGGGCAACATAGCGAGAGCCCATCTCTATTTTTAAAAAGAAAAGAATAGTGGTTTAGCACATATTTTGTATATGTATTATACTGTATTTTGGCCAGGCGTGGTGGCTCACGCCTGTAATCCCAGCACTTTGGGAGGCCAAGGCGGGCGGATCACAAGGTCAGGAGATCGAGACCATCCTGGCTAACACGGTGAAACCCTGTCTCTACTAAATGTACAAAAAATTAGCCGGGTGAGGTGGTGGGTGCCTGTAGTCCCAGCTATTCGGGAGGCTGAGGCAGGAGAATGGCATGAACCCGGGCGGCAGAGCTTGCAGTGGGCCGAGATCACAGCACTGCACTCCAGCCTGGGCGACAGAGTGAGACTCTGTCGCTAAATAAATAAATAAATAAATAAAAATATGCTGTATTTTTACGATAAAATAGAGAAAAGAAAATATTAAAATCATAAGGAAGAGAAAACATTTACAGTACTGTACTGTATTTACTAATACCCTAAGTTTACAATCTGTTTATAAGATGACTTATCTGTCTGAAATGGCTGGCAACTGCGGCTGCAGACCTGAATCTACATACCAAGCAATTCAACTTCTTCTTGTAATGTCATGACTTCTCTCTGCTTGTGAGACTTACGGCATCACTAGTGGCACTTCCTTTGAGTCCCATGGTGTTATTCAAGGTTTTCAGTATTGCACCAAACATGACAAAAAATACACAAGAACTGTGAGAGATCACTTTTTACTGTGATGTGCAATTTACTGGAGATGAACTCCTCGGAGACGTTTAGCAACACATGGTGTTTTAAGAGGATACTCGAAACACTTGAACTCACTGCAATAGCAACAGGAGGTGGCCATGAAATGATTACAATGATACAGTATGTACTATAGTTAATTTTATGCAGTTTAGTTTTAATACCACATCTTTACATTTACGTTTCTTTTGACTTTGAATGGTGCCACATATGGTCTGTGTGCACAAATTTGGATAAATACTAATGTTTTACAATAGATTTGTGTATGTTTTATGGTAGTAAATGATAAAAAGACTAGTATCTACATATATTTTATGCATTCATGACATATATATTTCTAGGCCATGCAGTTTGTCTGCAAGTTTCTTCAAATGGATGCAAATCTCCAAAAAAATTTCCAATATATTTATTGAAAATCCATATATAAGTGGACCCATGCAGTTCAAACCTGTGTTGTTCAAGGGTCAACTATATATCATCAAGGTTTGCTACGCTAGGTTTTATCTAGGATTTCACATGCTTTTACATTTCTATATAGCCAATATAATGATTTTCTGTTGTTCAAGTTCTCTAGTATTTTTTCTAGCAATTTTTCTATTTCCATTTTCTATGTGTCTCCTATTTCAAACAAGATAACCACCAACATACAACTGGATATACAGTCATCCCTCAGTATCCTTTGGGGACTTGTTCTAGAACCCCTGAGGATACCAAAATCCACAGATGCTCAGGTCCCTTATATAAAATAGCATAAATAAATAAAATAGCTACACAGTATTTGCATATACCTACACACATACTCCTGTATACCTTATACCCTCTCTAGATTTCTTATAATACCTAATACGATGTAAATGATATGCAAGTATTTGTTATACTGTATGGGATTTTTAATTTGTATTTTTTTTTCCCAAAAATATTTTCGATCCACAGTTGGTTGAATCCCAGAGGATACAGAGGGCTAACTATAGCTGCATTGTTTTTTAAACACTAATCTCTGCAAGATGATTTAAAAAAATGTTTTTCCCTCCATACATACACTACTGGAGAAACTCCTTCCCTTTCTTTTTTTTTTTTTTTTTTAGACGGAGTCTCTCGCTCTGTTGCCCAGGCTGGAGTGCAGTGGCCGGATCTCGGCTTACTGCAAGCTCTGCCTCCTGGGTTTACGCCATTCTGCCTCAGCCTCCCAAGTAGCTGGGACTACAGGTGCCCGCCACCTCGCCCAGCTAGTTTTTTGTATTTTTTAGTAGAGATGGGGTTTCACCGTGTTAGCCAGGATGGTCTCGATCTCCTGACCTCGTGATCCGCCCGTCTCGGCCTCCCAAAGTTGCTGGGATTACAGGCTGGAGCCACCGCGCCCGGCCAACTCCTTCCCTTTCATTTGAACTAGTGGAGAGGAGCAGTGGAGTCCATCCATAGGATAAACTGTTTCACGCTGCCCTAAACTGTTTTTGTTTAAACTACAGGGAAGCGTTGACTGGAAGTATCCAAATGGGATCACCACTCAGATATCATAAATAAAACCAAGAAAAATAGCCAGTAAGATTTGTAAAAGGCTTCATAGTATCAATGTACTTGCCATAGTTATAAACATGCAGTTAGATGTATACACATGGAGAAATGGATAGGCAGATGCACACATGCATTAGTACAGTCATGCAACACATAACGATGTTTCCGTCAATGACAGACCACATGTATGACAGAGATCCCATAAGATTATAATACAGCTGAAAATTTCCTACTGCCTAGCAACATCGTAGCCGTTGTAACATATTGTTTGGGGTGATGCTGGTGTAAATAAACCTGCATGGCCAGTTGTATAACTGTATAGCACATACAATTACGTACAATACATAACATTTGATAATAAACAACTATGTTACTGTTTTATGTAGTTACTATACTTTTAATCATTATTTTAGACTGTACTCCTTCTACTTATTAAAAAATGTTAACTATAAAACAGCCTGAGGCAGGTCCTTCAGGAGAAACCCCAGAAGGCACTATCATAGGAGATGACAGTTCCATGCATGTTACTGCCCCTGAAGACCTTCCAGTGGAACAAGATGTGGAGGTGCAAGACAGTGATATTGATGAGCCTGACCCTATATAGGCCTGGACTAATGTAAATGTTTGTGTCTTAGTTGTTAACAAAAGTTTAAAAAGTTAAAAAAAGAAAGGTGATAAAAAAAGCTTTACAGAATAGGATATAAAGAAAAAATATTTTTGTACTACTGTACAACGTGTGTTTTAAGCTAAGTGTTATCACGAAAGAGTCAAGAGGTTAAAATTAAGTTTATAAAGTAAAACAGTTACATTAAGCTATGGTTAATTGACTGTTGAAGGAAAATTTGTTGTGAATTTAGTGTAGCCTCTGTACAGTATGTATAAAGTCTACAGGAGTGTACAGTAGTGTCCCAGGCCTTCACATTCGCTTAACACTTACCACCCAGAGCACCTTCTCGGCCTGCAAGCTCCATTCATGTTAAGTGCCCTATATACCTGTACCATTTTTTAATCTTTTATATTTTTACCATAACTTTTCTATGTTTAGATACACAGATACTTACCATTGTGTTACCGCTGCCTACAGTACTCAGTACAGTAACATGCTGTAAAGGTTTATAGCCTAGGAGCAGTAGGCTATACCATGTAGCCTACATGTGTAGCAGGCTCTACCATCTAGGGTTGGGTAAGTACACACTAGGATGTTTGCACAATGATGAAATCACTTAACACATTAATCAGAACATATCCCCATCGTTAAGCAATGCATGACTGTATGTTACCACAGACCAGTGGTTCTCAGGGGGGCAGCATTGCCCCAAGAGGCAGTTTGGACAACTGTCAAGAGTATTTTTTTTTTTTTTAAATCACTGCTAACAGTGGAGTGGAGGTAGAGGGCTAGATATCCTGCAGTGCTCTATTCCTGGACCATGAAATTTGACCAACTTCCTGCACTACTTTCAAATGGACTGCTAGACATACATCTAAGTTAAAACCTATTTAAAATAATCAAACTCAGAACCTAAAGCAGTTTTATGTATAAATATTTTTAATAGTTTTGATAAACATTAAACATCAGTTTTTATTTAGTATCTACTGTATTTCTTCATTTTCTTATACTTTCTGTATAGAACAGCTTCCACTCCCAAATTTATTTGCATAAATAAATGTAAACATCTGTCTACTTTAGACATGATGTCGATTTTTATGGGTACGAGTGCATCTTATCTATGGATCTTCTTTCGGGATAATATAAGGACTTTATAAAATACTGTTATAAAAAGGGAGAATTGGGTTGAGAACCACTGTTCTTTCTTTTTTAATATATATTTTCTTTTTTATTTTATATTTTGCTCCCAGTCTCCAGACTGGTGAGAACCACTGTTCTAAAGAGTAGAGACTCTAGGTACAATGGAAAATGATTATTGAAGAAACAAAGCTATACTGTCCCCAACACACACATGCACACACAAGCTTTTGGATGTGACATTCTACTCTGTTGTTAAGATGCCTGAGACCCTTGCAACTTTGTTCCCTTTATTGAGGAAAAATAAATTTCTCACTTTTTCTATATTACAGAAGCAGGCATTTATCAACTGAGGAAATGATATATTTCTTACTAGGATTGTTGATATTTCCTTGACTTTTATCTTCTAAAATATAAAGAGATTTTGAGTTAGTTATATTGTACATCTGTTTATCCAGAAAAGAAAGATCTGATTAAAAATTAAGCAAACTCGGTTATCTCTGGGAGTGGGTCTGAGGGGCAGGGTAATAGGTTTACGGGTATGTGTGGGGTTAGGGGAAGGGTTTAATTTGTTCTCATCTGTGCTCTTTGAATTTTTTTTTTACCATCAATATGTGTTTACATTAAAATAAAAGTTAAAATTTTGTTTACAAAAAAGTATTTTCTACATATTGAACTTAGATTCCCAAGTACATTAATACCTAGTATTCATTGAGTGTTTACTGTGTGCCATGCATTGTGCTAATGCTTTATGTACACTGTCACCTTTACTTCTTAGTCTTATTAGCCAGGTATAATTATCCATATTTCACAGATATTCCTTAAAACATTCATGCAATGTTTTGAGGAATGCCATGCATAAAATCACGGAGGTAATTGGTGCTAGAAATATCAAATTTCAAATTTGCTCTGAATTACTATGCTATACAGATGCTTCTCGACTTATGGTGGGGTTGTGTCTCAATAAATCCAATGTAAGTTGAAAATACCATAAGTCAAAAATGCATTTAACTCACCCAACCTACAGAACATCATGGCTTAACCCAGCCTACCTTAAACGTGCTCAGAACAGTTACATGAGCCTGCAGTTGGGCAAAATCAGCTAACATAAACTTATTTTACAATAAAATATAGAATGTCTCATGTAATCTATCGAATATTGTACAGAAAGTGAAAAAGAGAATGGTATGGGTACTTGAAGTATGGTTTTTACTGAATGTATATGGCTTTCAGACCATTGCAAAGTCAAAAAATCCTAAGTTGAACCTGATAGAGCGGGAGCACCGTCATCTTGGACAAACACCGCCACTTTAAATTCCAGCTCCCTTTCTAGCCTCATGCATTTCAAGGAAATCACCTCTTCTAACTACAAGCAGACAGAAGGAGCAAACAGTAAAACACAGATAAAACAGCTGGGGCACAAAGGGAGGTGAGGGGAAAGTCTCTTGAGTGACTCCCAAACTTCACCCTCATACAATGGGCCCCAGTAAAACGGTGGGCCTTAATAAGCACATTCCTTTCCCTTCAGGTGTACTAAGTTAGGGAAGCTAAAAGCAGACTTGGGGAATATGCCTGCAGCTGCAGAACGATGTATGGGAACAGACACACAACTCTCCCTCCCAGATAAGCACAACAAAGAGACACAGAAGCAGTCCAAGCCTCTGATAAACTCTCCCACCCTGAATCCTTAAAAACTCTTAGTCTGTAAAAAAGTGGGCCTCTAACCTCACTCGGCCAGAAGGCGCCTCTCAGGTTTTCTCTAAAATAGATCTGTCCTAACTGGCAAGCCACCTTTTCGTGTTTCTTTCCTCTTTCTTTAATTCTTACAGAACCATTGTAACTTGGAGACCATCTGTACTACCAAGTGTGTGCCTAGCATTGAAATATTACGATATTACCATATTTTAACAGCTTTGAAGCCAAATAGCAATTCTAGGTGCCCAAGATAGAGGTGGATAACTAAATCTGTTTGGAAGACAAGTGTAGCACAAAGTGAACAAAGCTGGAAAAGTTTGAGTCCTGGGTGTCTCTTTCTAGCCTATTACAAATTCCTTAATCTTCTTATGTTCCATGTTCTCATCTCTCAAGTGTCAATAACATTTATCTCATTGGATTAAATGAGCTCCTGTGTACTGTTTTCACATCACCTTTTTAAAAGCTACACACAGCTTTCCAGGAGAGGGCACAATACACTGTAGTCCCAGCAAAATCTAGTGGCCTATTGGACGATACAGAGTGTGGTGAGGAGCACAGAATGGCTGGTCCCAGTATTGGCACGCTGCACAGTCCTCATTCACAGTTCTTGGATGATACTATTTCTATGTCTACAGATTCCCTCACCCTGGGAAGCCTGCCTCATTCTGGAATAGACAGGCCCAGCTGGAAGCCAACTGTTCCAGTTTAAGATCAAGTGCCTTTTTTGATGTTTGGCCCAGAGAACCATAATAGCAGCCTGCTGCTCACACTGAAAGTTCTCAACGTTTTCGCTGTCTGGCTTGCAGACTGGGGTATTGGCAAGTGTACAGCCCAGATGTCTTCCCCAGACCCCGTAAGACTGAACTAACTGAATGATTATGGTAAAGGACTTAGAATCCATGGTGCCTCCACCCCTAGTAAAGAATGTATTACCAGGTTTTTCATTCAGTTGTATCATTTTTATTCCTAAACAAGAAAGAGGTTTTCAGATAATAACAAAGGCAGCTACTATTTACTACTATGCTACTACCATTCATTTTGCTGGGTACTTTATCTCATTAGGTCTTTAATCAGCCCTGCAAGACAGAAGCTTTCCTCATTTTACAGATGTGAAAGCAGAGGCATAGAAAAGTGAAGTAACTTATATAAAGTTACTGAGAGGAAAGAGACAGAGACTTCCTGAAGCCAGGTCTGTCTGTCTACACAGCTCACGTTCATCTCCCGCCATGCTCACTGGCTGCTTTCAGATAACCACAGTTTGATGAGCAAGACCCCCGTGATGGCACTGTGCAAACCCAGGACCAGCGAGCTGAAGAGATGTAGATGCACAAGGTGTGTCGTCAGTGTCACTAGAGATTCACTTCAAAGTTGTGGCCAAATAAATCCAACAGTACAAACTTGGGTCAATATAAAAGAGGTCCTGGACCCTTTTCTCTGAGGCTATGTTCTCTGAGCCTTTATTTAATAGAAAACGCTGTTTCTGTACACAGCATGCAGCTTCCATTGGCAGCAGTGTTACGTGAAGTTCAGCACTGTGTGGCTGGATATAGTTTTTAAGATGCCAAATATCTAATTTCTTTAACAGATCATCATTTCCATAATAACAAAACCTGCAAAAATTATTTTCAAAGTACTGCATGAACTCAGGAGAAAAGGTTTTAAGCATTGGACAGTGGCTTGCACTCTGAGATTCTATGGTTTCATAGTCCTTACAAATATTCCTGTCATGTACATGTGACTACTGATGGCTACATTTAATAGATGATAATTATGAGGCATAGACAGTCCCGTGCATATCTAATGGTGACTATACTCCCCAAACTGGCATCTTCCCCTCTGACATGCCTATCCTCTGACATGCCTATCAGTTGCTTACCAGGTAGTGGAAAAGGTTCTGGAATTTTCATTCCTAAATGAGAAGGAAGTTTTCAGTGACTTAAAGTTTGCTCCACTGAGTATAATTTTCAAACTCTTGTCTGCTGAGCTTAAGAGATGCAAGCACCCAAGGCCCCGATGCACTATAGTTTCTGGCTTTTTATTTAAAAGTTCTCCTTACATAAACCCTCATTATACAAATCCACACCAAGATTAGAAGAGTCTTCTGCCATAGCACTTCACTGAGCGTGTTTATGCCAGGAGAATACCGTGTTTTGTTACCTGGAGATACAGGCAATGAGATGTTAGCCAAGACTAACAGTCAACTTGTGCATAAAGTTAGGTTTCTATTGAATAATTTTAGCTGTAGAACCTGGAAGGTGCTGGATTGATGCATCCAGATCCCAGGAGCCTTTTCCTCAGCCATATCCAGAGCAGAACTAACTTTCCTGCCCCAGAGACAATGTTCCAGGAGCACATGAATGCACAGGGGGAAAGGGACTTTCTCTACGCTTCCCCAGCTAAATATTTGTAGATGACCGGCAGGCAGCTATAAGGGAAATATTCATGAATAATAGTCTCATGACAGTATTCTCCTAAATGCGTGGGGAATCCTGCTCACCTCATTCTTGGGCTCAGGGAATAAATAGAGAGCTGTCTTACCTGGTATTTCGGTGGGTTCAAGGATTTTCACACCTAAAGGCAGAAATGAATATTGGTTTGTATTAAACAGTTATATTGTTAATACTCTCTTGGGTCTATCCTTCCTCCATTTCCAACTCAAAAAAAAAAAAAAAAAAAAAAGGCAGGGAGAAAGAAAAAAGAAACAGCAACAACAAAAACACCAACACCTTTCAGTGGCTCTTCATTCTCCATGTGACAGAGTCCAAACTCCTTAGCCTGGACTTTAAGAACTTCCACAATCTAACCCCTGTCTCTCCAACTTTAGCTTCAGGAAGCAGTCCTAATACATCAGTTTGTGGATGACACAGTACTGGTTTTACATTTCTGCTTGGTTTAGCTCTATTGTAATTATAGTTATTAGCTCCGTGACTTTGGGCAGACTACTTAATCCCTCCTAACTTCAGTTTCTCATTTTGCAAGAGAAACATTTACTTCTTACGTTTGTAGTTAGTGAGGATTAAAGGAAAGACCGCATAAAAGTGCTTGGTACACTGCATGGAGCAAAAAAAAGAAGTCAATAAATGAAGTCCCTTTCTTCTAGTCGAACTCATTCCTCAAACTCTCCAGGCTCAGTAATATTTTTTTTCTTTTTTGAGAGACAGGGTCTCACTGTGTCACCCAGGCTGTGGTGGGGTACAATGACACGATCATAACTCACTATGATTCTCCTGCTTACACCTCCCAAAGAGCTGGGATTATAGGTGTGAGCCACTGTGCTGGCCTTCCACAATGTTCTTAATCCTAGGAATCCTCATTGTCTCCTAACCATGTAGCTAGTCTCAGTAAATAGATTATTTACCAGGTGAAACAGTGAGGCCCTGACTTTTTATTCCTAAGGATGAGGATAAGAACTATTTAGTAAAAAAAATGCAATCAGCTTGAAAATTAATTTGACCTTATACTTGACTTCTGTAGTAGAAAACTCAGAACGTTTTGAGAAATGGCAGGGGACAAGGTAACAAAAAGAAGGTATTTAACCCACTGGAGCCCAACTGATGATAAGAACTAAGGCTAGTGACCCAGAATCTCTCCTAGGTTAAGCATCTGTTGTTCATTTTTAAAAAATTCAACCCAAAGACCTTGACCCAAAATTGTCATTATATGTAATATATAAAATATGCTTCCTAATTATATAATATGTTATAATTTGGAAAAATACAGAAAATTATTAAAAATTAAAGTTCTCTTAAAACTGCAGATCTCAGAAATACTCTACTCATTCTTAACATTTTTGGTGTATTTCAATCATTTTGCTATGCATACATATGTATGCATATACATTTTTAAAAGTTGGTATTATACTGTATATGCTGTTTTATATCCAATTATTTACCATTGTATTAAGAATACTTTCTTCCATCTTTAGATGGTTTCAAAAACATGATTTATAAGTTGTTTAGTGTTTCATAATATAGATAGTATTTTATTTAACCATACCCAACGGTTGGACACTGAGGCTGTTTCTAAATTTTTGCTACTGTCAAATAAAAATTATAGGAGACCATCGCTTTAGACTAAGTTTCTGCAGTAGGCCCCAAAAGACCAGACTAAAAATTGACATGGAGTCACCCAAGCTAAAGTTCCACACCACCTAAACTAAGTTGTCTGACCTTCTAAGAAATTAGGAGAAAGAAATAACAGAATTTCCCAAACAGGCCAGTTTAAAATCTTCAATCAGCTTAATAAATGAAGTTCCTGCTGCTTCAATCCTTACACACAAAAAAGGTAGCCTGAAATAAACTGATGTCAACTAATCAGTTATTTTTCTACTGTTCTGTCTAAAAGTAACTAATATACTCTGTTCTTTGCTTCCACTTTCTTTGGCTCTTGTGTGTCTTTAAAGCCAAACTTCTGTGCTCAGCTCAATGGAACACTTATTCTATGGAATAAAGTGTTGTCCAATTCTAGACTCTCAAATAAAGCCAATTGATCTCTTTAAATTTGTTGTACTTTTGTCTTTTGACACTACCATAACACTGTGATAAGCATTTTTGTACACAAATCTTTGTGTTCATCTCTAATTTCCTTGGGACAAATATCCAAAAGTGTTTTAACCGAGTCAAAAGGTATAAACATTTTTAAGACGAGTAATACATACTACTAAATTGCTCTCCAAAAAAGTTCCAATTTATAATCTCACCAGTAATTTATGAGACTGTTCCTGTCCCGGTACCCTTGAGGACATCTGAGTAATTTTTTTTTTTCAAGACGGAGTCTCATCGTGTCACCCAGGCTGGAATGCAGTGGCGTGATCTCGGCTCACTGTAACCTCCACCTCCCAGGTTCAAGTGATTCTCCTGCCTCAGCCTCCTGAGTAGCTGGGATTACAGGCATGTGCCACCATGCCCGGCTAATGTTTGTATTTTTAGTAGAGACGGGGTTTCACTATGTTGGTTGGGTTTCACAGGCTGGTCTTGAACTCCTGACCTCGTGATCCACCCGCCTTGGCCTCCCAAAGTGCTGGGATTACAGGCGTGAGCCACCCGGCCCGGCCATTTGAGTAATATTAAAAATAAAACAAAAACAAATACTTGAGGATGAGATATACTTTGGATGTACTAAATAATCAAATGGATATAGCTAATGGCATGTATTAATCAGATTGCTGGAGATAGAAATAAATACAAAGAATAGTCATTTTAATTTAGAAAAAACGACACTATTTGTTATGCCCTGCCCAACACCTACATATTTTAGTTAAATAATATTAAACATGGATGACCTAAAGATTATTAGACGGGAGAAACAGAGTTGCTATGCCATTTTTCTAAAGAATTCTACCTGAAATCCAGGAGGGTCTCTAATATACCAAACCAGTAAGCTAAGGTGAGCTCTGCCTTCCTCCCACTTTTCTTACCATGACATTCTTCCCTGTTCCCACATGTAAAGGGAGATATATTACAAAATGTAAGCCCCCAGAATTTATATAAATGTCTTACCACGGTCTTCAAGCTTCTGGTTTTTCTCACCTGAGTCACAAAAATAAGCTCATCAGTTTTTAATGTTGGAACAAAACAATTGGCAGTTACTACAGCTACAGCAAAATTATTTTCAAGAAATATGAAAATATTCCCACCTGTAAAGGGAGGTATCTTGCAAAATGTAAGCCCCCAGAATTTTTTTTTTTTTTTTTTTTTACACGGAACCTCGCTCTGTTGCCAGATCGTGCTGTGGCACGATCTCAGCTCACTGCAACCTCCAACTCCCTGGTTCAAGGGATTCTCCTGCCTCAGCCTCCCAAGTAGCTGGGATTACAGGCACACGCCACCACGCCCGGTTGATTTTTGTATTTTTAGTAGAGATGGGGTTTCACTATATTGGTCAGGATGGTCTCAATCTCCTGACTTCGTGATCTGCCTGCCTCGGCCTCCCAAAGTGCTGGGATTACAGGCATGAGCCACTGTGCCCGGTCAGGCCCCCAAAATGTATAAAAATGTCTTACCGTGGTCTTCAAGCTTCTGGGTTTTATCACCTGAGTCACAAAAAAGAAGTTCATCAGTTTTAACGATGACACAAAAGAACTGGCAGTTACTATTGCTACAGCAAAATTGCTTTCAGGAAATATGACTATAAAGAACCATTTGGTATGTCCAGGCAACTACCCTACTAAACTTACGTTGTCAATCAGAGTCTAAATGTACCTTAGCTAATGAGCTGGAACATTCTCTGCCCCCACTATTAAGAAAAGTATTACAAATAGCTTGTCTACCAGGGATCTCAAGGAGCCAAGAAAATGTCTATGTTGAAGAGTCAGCTAAAGTCCCTGTGAAGTGATCAGTAGAACCTGTGACTGCAATGGAACAATAAAAAGAAGGGCTGCTAAGAAGTCCTCAAGGTGTAAAGTGCTTCACTTCTATCAGGACAGGAAGTATCTTCCCAAACATGAAATAAACTGCATGTTTTAAAAAGGCTGGAACCTCTTCTCTTTTCAACAAAGAAAAATTTACTGTAGCCACATAAACCAAACACATGATAAGGAACTTACATGCAAAGAAATTATTTGGGCCATATATCCTTAAGTGGAAACTTTAAGAGCATCTAATCACCTACATATTTTAGTTAAATAATATTAAACATCAAGCATCAGCATATTTGAGAGATGCAAATATGCTGAGTTCTGTGTTTTCATCTGAGTATTTGGAGTCACATAGGTTCATTTCAATGACTGAATACAGAGCTGTACCTAAGAAGCCCCCAGAACTGGTCAAGAATGACTAGCTCTTCATTCTCACCACCCATATTCACCAGAAAGTTTCCATGTTGTTCAGATCTCCACAAAGCCAATTCTCTCATTTGAGAAAGGTACATTTCCCTAGAATAGCTTCTTTATTTTTTTCTTCTCATATAGGCCAAGTCACTGCTTTATATCTGCAAATATTATTCAGCTAAGAAATACATTTGCTAAACAAGAAAGAGCTATTAAACATCCAGGTGAGGATTATTATTATTAACTTTGGAGACAGGGTTTCGCCCTGTCACCCAGGCTGGAATGCAGTGGGCGTGATCTTGGCTCACTGCAACCTCTGCTTCCCAGACTCAAGTGATCCTCCCACCTCAGTCTCCCAAGTAGCTGGGACTACAGGTGCACACCACCATGCCTGGCTAAGTTTTGTATTTACAGGTGCACACCACCATGCCTGGCTAAGTTTTGTATTTACAGGTGCACACCACCATGCCTGGCTAAGTTTTGTATTTTTTGTAGAGATGGGGTTCACCATGTTGCCCAGGCTGATCTCAAACTCCTGGGCTTAAGTGATCCACTCACCTTGGCCTTCCAAAGTGCTGGCATTACAGGCATGAGCCACCATGCCCAACCAAGATTATTTTTAAAAATTAGAGCATACTCACCAGGGTTGTAGACATAGACGGGTTGAAAATATTCTGAAATACAGACATGTTTTCATTACATGGTACTATGCTTAGATGTGAATGTCAGGTTCAGTCTATTTTTAAATGTTCATTAATAATAAAGATTTAGTTGGCTTATATTTAAGAAACATAAAAATATGGTTATTATGAGAGATATAAAATTTCAATTCAAAGACAAATGGATGTGGATTCACTTTTTTTTTTTTTTTTCCCTGAGACGGAGTCTTGCTTTGTCGCCCAGGTTGGGGTGTAGTGGCACGATCCCGGCTCACTGCAACCTCTACCTCCCAGGTTCAAGCGATTCTCCTGCCTCAACCTCCCAAGTAGCTGGGATCACAGGCACCTGCCACCACACCTGGCTAATTTTTATATTTTTAGTAGAGCCAGTTTCACATGTTGCCCAGGCTGGCCTCAAACTCCTGACCTCAAGCAATCCACCCGCCTCAGCCTCTGGATGTGGATTCATTTAAGTTACACGAAAAAAAAAAATTCACAGGAAAGCTAGCCAGGAAGACAGCTAGAAACAGACCCTTGTTTTTGAACTTTTTTTGTCTCTCTTCTGATACCTTTGGTATGTTTTTAAACTTTTTAATGAGGAAATCTTCAAAAGGATCCGCCCAGAGCATGTCTTCATCCAAAGGCATTTTTGGTATCTTCAATTCAAATTTATTCGGCCTATTTGATAATGCTGTTCCTTAATACTCTTAGAATTTTCTACCTTCCCAAATCTTTCCCACAGTCCTCTAAGAAAGATTTTTTTTTGTCAAATCCTCTTATTTTTCCCCGAAGAAGTTAAAATCGACCATATTACCCTTGTGTCATCCCATTCTCCTCCCTCCTTGACCTATATTCATGCCATTCCTTCATTGGTCTCCCAAATGTTATTTCCTAAGATAAGAAAATATAGGAACAGGAGCTAGCTCTTTGCACAGGAGTCAAGTGGGAAATAGCTGAAGATGCAGGGGAATTAAGGAGTCCTTAAACTCCTGTAAAGTCAGGCTCGGATGACAGCGGCATGTTCCCTTTATGCCCAGGCCAGTGCAGTGTTTGAGAGAAGAGCCACAGGCAAGTCTGTGGGTGGGGATGAGGGTGGCAGTGGGGAGCTGGCAGCAAAGGCTCCTAGGCCCTCCACCGGAAAAGGTACTAGCAGTAGCACAATTTAGCTTTGAGAAAATGATGTCTGACAGTATGACAGCACAGTGGTGGGGTGGCTCTGACCCATACCTATGAGAAGTCACTGATAAAATTCCTACTGTAGGGATAAGACTTTAAAGCATACCTTACCTAGGTTCTCAACACAGTTTTCAGTTTTTAGTCCTGAAACACAAAGATAAAGCTTTATTAGTTAGACATAATCTACCCTAGTAAAATATTTCAATTCATCTATGGCTATTGGTAACTGAATCTGTCAGCTCCTGGTCTATCAGACTCATAATTAGTAAGATGTAAATTGCAGGCTATGGTGGCTCATACCTGTAACTCCAAGGCTGATGTGGGAGGATCGCTTCAGCCCAGGAGTTCAAGACCAGTCTGGGCAATATAGGGAGACCCCATTTCTACAAAAAATTTTTAAAAATAATTAGCCAGGCATGGTGGCACACACCTGTAGTCCCAGCAACTCACGAAGGTCAGGTGGGAGGATCACTTGAGCCCAGGAGGCTGAAGCTGCAGTGAGCTGTGATCATGCTACTACACTCCAGCCTGGGCAACAGAGTGAGACACTGTCTCAATTATTTAAAAAAATTGCAGAACAATTATATTTTAGTATTTACAGTACAGTCACCAAACAGCCATATGACCTCTGACAAAACACCTAAGCCTTCTGGAATTCAGTTTTCTTATCTGTATCTTTTACTAGAAGACTGCTTCAAATGACTTTCAAGGGCCCATCCTGAGCTGATACTTTATCATTCTATTCTATAATTAGTCTGCAAAATTTAGGAGAAAATTTACCTGTCCAACTAATCCTCTCTTCAGATACTAAATATCCTCAACAAACCTATCCCTCTACTACAACAATTCCTATCCTTTGAAGAAAAAGAATCTCAATGAGACCTTCAACATCCTTTAATATTTGAACAAAGATCCTTCTCATTCATATAAAGGAAATGAGTTGGTATGCACCAGAATATTCATTTGTGTATGAGGAAATCCACAGTATTTGGAGAACAGAACGTGGCATCTGACAGTACTTTTTGTAAGGTCATAGATGTTCTCACTGGTGATGCCCTAGAAAAAGTTGTCAGTGCTGCAGTGATTCCCCTGAGACTTGACAGAAAGGGAATCTACCAGCCAGCAGCAGTAAGGTAAGAAGGTTAGTGAGACAGCATACAGATCTGGTGCAGTATGAGCCATATGGAAGGCCTACCAGAATGCACAACGAAGGTCCAGATGCCTCGCAGTCTCTATTCCATACCTGACGAACACACTAATCTAATCTGGAAGTTCAGCTACCTGAGGAGGAGCCTCTTTACCTACAATAGGAGAATCCCTAGAGAGGCCTGGCTCCTAAGAAGATATATACTTCTATAATCTACTCTCAAGTCCTGCTCCATTTGTAGTGAGTGTCTGAACCAAAAATCCAGGTGATTTGGTCCATTTTCTACTGGTCCAGGAAATAACAGATCTGTTATAATCTGGACAGTGCCCTGAGGTTAAACTCAGGAATTTGACTAGACTAGAAATTTAAAAATTGGTTCTAGAGATTATTGCAAAATATTGTCTCAGGGCATGGTGGCTCACGCCTGTAATCTCAGCACTTTGGGAGACCAAGGCGGGTGGATCACCTGAGGTCAGGAGATCGAGACCATCCTGGCCAACATGGTGAAACCCCAACTCCACTAAAAATACAAAAATTAGTCCAGTGTGGTGGTGTATGCCTATAATCGCAGCTACTTGGAAGGCTAAGGCCAGAGAATCACCTGAACTCCAGAGGCAGAGGTTGCAGTGAGCCAAGATCGCGCCATTGCAATCCAGCCTGGGCGACAAGAGTGAAACTCTGTCTCAAAAAAAAAAAAAAAAAACAGTTGTCTCAGCAGGAGATGGGTGAGTACGAGCCTCATCCAGAGAGCTTATTTGAGGATAAGGTGAAGGTGAGGGGAATTGTGGATGAGAAGGCTACAGATGTAAGTTGAAAGATGCAACCTGGAGACCAGGCACCAGGGGGATTTTGAAAGGCTTTGTCTTTTGTCTGTAGCACAAGTTAGAGCATGTTTCTCAAAGTGTACTTTTCTAGCCACATACTTCAGAATCACCTGGGTGCTTATTAAAAAGGCAAATTCCAGGACCAAAGCCAGGACTATTATTGCTGCATACTTTCTAGAGGGGGATGCCTTGTAATCTGCATTTTAAATAAGCACTCCAAGTGATTTTTATGCACAAAATTTTTGAAGGCCTCCTGAATAGAAAAGAATGGGTATCTTTATTTATTATATATTTTTTTCTTTTTGAGATGGAGTCTCGCTCTGTCACCCAGGCTGGAGTGCAGTGGCGAGATCTCGGCTCACTGCAACCTCTGCCTCCCAGGTTCAAGCAATTCTCCTGCCTCAGCCTCCTAAGTAGCTGAAATTACAGGCACCCACCACCACGCCCAGCTAATTTTTGTACTTTTAATAGAAGCAGGCTTTCACCATGTTGGCGAGGCTGGTCTTGGACTCTTGACCTCAGGTGATCCACCTGCCTCATCCTCCTAAAGTGCTGGGATTACAGGCATGAGCCACTGTACTGGCCTCTTTAATGTTTAACACAGAGTCATTTTGTTAATATTGCATTTCTCTTCCCTATTTAAACTCTGGATTTAATTTTCTATTTAGCATTTTCAATAGCAGTAATCAAACTATTTTGAGTTTCTGAAGAAGTAGCAGGGTTAAAAATGGATAAGAGAATTGGTTCAGAAATAAAAGGAGAGGCACAAATATATAAGGAATGAAAAAGGAAACCTGACAACAGATTCAGCAGATGTAAAAAGACATGAGAATATTATGAACAGCTTTATGCCTACTAATTTGAAATACAAAGGCCAATGGACAAATTCCTAGAAAAATTTAACTTACTAACCATTAAGTAGTTTAAAATTTTTCCAGAAAGAACATACCAAGATAATTCAATTTTTATAGACAGAGTACCAGAGAGAAGGGAGTGGCACAAACAGAACTCCAGAGATCTGCAAAGGGTTTCCCTCAAGTATTCAGTGGCGTGCTGATCAGATTATATGTGTGAGATAACTACCCAAGGCCAGAGAAAAAACCCGCAAGGTCAAAAATAGTGTCTATTCCCATCAACCAGGCTAGAAAACCTTATAATCCACAGGCACTAAGTAGAGTATTGAGAAGGGTACAGCCTCAGCAGTGAGAAATAATGAGCCCTAGATTAAAGTGACTCTGGTTCTGCCTAGAAAATCTGAAGAATCAGCCCTAAAACAATCAAACTGTTTTAAAGTAAATTAACTATGTACCAGAACAAAGCTCAAGAATATTTTTAGAAATATAAAATTACCATGCACACAACAAGGTAAAATTCACAACATCTTGCACCCAATCAAAAAATACCAGCAAAGAAGCAGTAAAATACAATTCATCATGACAAGAGAACTCAATCTAATGAAACTACCCCAGAGCTGACACAAACGTTAGTATTATTAGAAAAGTAAATTAAAGTAGTCATTACAACTGTATTCCATGTGTCCAAAAAATAGATTAAAGGTGTTGTCTTACCTCCAGTTGCCACACAAAATACCAGAGACTGGATGGCTGAAACAACAGATTTTTGTTTCTCATAATTCCAGAGCTGGGAAATCCAAGATCAAGGTACTGGCAGATTCAATTTCTGGTAAAGGCTTTCTTCTTGCCTTGCAGATAGCCACCTTCTCACTATATCCTCATATGTCAGAGAAAGAGCAAAGCCATGGTCTCCTTTCCTCTTCTTAAAAGGACACTAGCCCCATCATGGGTACTCCTACTCTCATGACCTAATCTAAACCTAATTACTTCTCAAAGGCCCTACCTCCAAATACCATCACAGTGAGGATTAGGGCTTCAACGTATGAATTTTGTGGGGAGAACATTCAATAGTGAATGTCAGTACAACTAACAGGTGTTAAGTAGAGATGTGGAAGATATAAAAAGACCCAAAATGAATTTCTAGAGATAAATTTTCTGAGATGAAAAACACACTAGAGAGAATTACTGACAAACTAGACACTGCAGAAAAAAGATTAGCAAACTTGACATATTGCGGTATGCAGAATAATACCCTTCTTAAAGAGGCCTACGTCCTATCCCCAGAACCTGTGAATATGTTCTTTTACATGGCAAAAAGAGAACTATGGTTGCAGATGTAAATAATGTTGCTAATTAGCTGACCTTCAGGTGGGGTATTTAGCTTGGATTATCCAGGTGAGCTCAATCTAATAACATAAATCCTTAAAAGTGGAAAAAACAAGAAGTAGAAGAGAGGATCAGAGAGATGCAAGGTGCAGAGGACTCAACATGCTGTTTCTTTCTTTTTTGAGACGGGGTCTCAGGGTCTCCCTCTGTCACTTAGGCTGGAGTGCACAGTGGTGTGGTCATGGCTCACTGCAACATCAAACTCTTGGGCTCATGCAATCCTCCCATCTCAGCCCACCACAGGCAGCTGGAACCACAGATGCATGCCACCATGCCCGGATAATTTTTTTATTTTTTATTTTTGTAGAGGCAGAGTTTCACCATGTTGGCGAGGCTGGTCTTGAACTCCTGACCTCAGGTGATCCTCCTGCCTCAGCCTCCCAAAGTGCTGAGATTATAGGCATGAGTCGCCACACCTGGCCATCAACATGCTGTTTCTGACTGAAAATGGATGAAGGAGGCCGTAAACCAAGGAATGCAGGTAACCTCTGGAAGCTGGAAAGAGAAAGAAAACAGATTCTTGCCTAAGCCCCCAGGAAGGAATGCAGCCCTACTAACACCTTAATTTCAGCTCAGCAAGACTTATGTCAGGCTTCTGAAATACAGAATTGTAAGATAATAAATTTAGATGTGCTGTTTTAAACCATTAGATTTGTGGTAATTTGTTATGGCAGCAATGAAGTACTGAAATATACAAAATAATAGAAAACATCTAAAAATGAAACAGAGAGAAAAATACTAATAACAAAAACCATTAGAGTTTCACTGAGCAGGAGACAACCTCATGCAGTTTAATATACATATAAACAGAATCCCTAAAGGAAGAAGAGAGGGGTGAAAAAATATTTGCACAAACAGTACTCACAACTTTCCTAATATGGTGAAAACTATGAACCTACAAATCCATAAAGTTCAATGAACTCCAAGCACAAG